TGCGCTTGTAGGTCTTGGAGACTTTTTGTTGCCAATCAAAGAAAGCAAAAGTAATTATACTACATTTGTTCCAAACATCGTATATGTAATCAAGATCGCAATAGCTACAGGTCCCTCCTCATCAGGAGAATGACATTACTAGAAAGGAAAAGCAAGACTTAGACTCTATAATTGACCGAGCTATTGCGAAGAGCAATGTTGCCGGTTCCAGAATTAAAGCCCAAGGGCACTTGACATAAAGAAATCCGAACGTGGAGAAAATCTCAGATGAGAAAACGGAGATAAGGGGAAGAAGAGAAGTACCAAAAGGAGCAAGACAATCCAATCGGACAAGTTCGCAATACGTGACGAGCGATCATAGCTTTCAAGGCTGACCCAAGACAATGCAAATCAATGACAACAATATGAGAAGATACACTACAGCAATAGTTCCAATGACAAATTCAAATACAATAAAACAACCTCAATCAGTAGTGCTAAATACAACACAATTTTAAATACAATATTCAACTAAGCTACAGAAGAACTTCAATCAAAATCAAATGCATTGGAAGTATAAATAGCTACCAATTGAGGATCTAAGTGAAAACGTTGTCGTCTCTCCTCCCATGAAGGTGTGAACTGCAAGTGGTTTGACGCTTCTATCTTCGAAGAGTGTGTGTAATTATGGCAAAGCCTCGAGGGCTATCTGCCTAAGGGGAGGGATGCCTTCGTGGAGGACTTTCTAAGGGGAACTGGCTCGTATACACGTTACACATGGGGAAAACCACGAAAACGCCCATGCAGCCAGCCCGTTCATGGGATTCGAACCTCGGACCGAACTACCAGTGTTCAGCGACTTTACCGCTCGGCCGCTGGTGGGCCCTATCTTCGAAGAGAATTTCATAATTAAAGACTTGGGAGTAATTAACAAAGTCACATTGCACAGCTTTGTTGAAGAATTTTTCATTAGATCTTCTGATGTAATCTGGAATCGTCTCAAATTTTAAGTCTCTGTGTAAAAATTTATTGCGGATAAGATAGTGTGAATCAGTAATAATGCGCAGAAATTTGTTTTGCACTTCTTGTAATTGATGCAGTTGAGTTTGAGTGACCGTGTTCCAAGCAGAAGCAGCATAACAAAGTATCGGTCGAATGCAAGTGGTATATATATATGTTTTTTGGTACGCAATCTAAGATTTGAATATTTTCCAATGACCGGGAGAAATCTGCATATTATGCCCATAGCTTTGCTCTTGACACTATTAATGTGATTAGACCATGAATAAATCTAGTGAATTTAAAACGGCTTTTTATACCCTACCGGTAGTACCATGCGCGAGGAAGGAGCGCCATCTATCGGCCAAATAGTAACCACAAATTATGTTAATAGAATTTTAAAAGCGTTAGGAAGGACTGGATTGGACTTAAAATCATTCACTAAACATGCTAAATCTTTGTGAATATGAAAAGCCTCAAGAAAATCCAATTCACCAGGGGAAGAAGCTTTTTGGATAATTTTTGCAAGTCAAAATTATGATTAAATTTCCAACTATGATACGCTATTCAAGACTTGCTAATTTCGCCTTTTCGGACATAAGATTCATGTTCCTTGATACGAAACTTTAACGCTCTTTTTTGTTTGACCAATATATCTCAAGCCACACTGACGCGATATATTATAAATTCCTCAAGAATAACAGTCAGAAACGCAATCTTTTAGATTCGAACCGTGAATTTTTATCGATAGAGGAGAAACTGACTTGAAAATTGAATTTCTCGAGAATCCGTGCAACTTTATAACTAACAGAAGCATAAAATGGAAGCACGACAAGGTCATTAATATTATTTCTAACAGTGGAATGTCTTCTTTAATGGGAATCTGACAATTTTTTAACGGCTTTATCAATGATCACGCGAGAAAATCCTCGGTCAATAGCAGCTGCTCTCAAATAATTAAATTCATTGGTAAGCAAAGATTCTAAGGAACAAACTCTGAGCGAGCGAAATACATAATTGTAAAAAGAAGCCTTTTTTTTTAACAGAGTGGCATGACTTAGCATGGGGTGGTAAACAAACTGCAAAGGGTTTACGGTATACAATAGTGCTAAAATCAATTTCATTGCGTATTATAAGAATATCAAGGAAGGGGAGGGAATTGTTTGACTCAATTTCAAGAGTGAATTGGATGGCTGGATCAATTGAATTATAATAGGAATTTATAATAGATAAAATCTCGTAGAAAAATCTACTTTATTACCATCAAAAAGCGCGAAAGTGTCGTCTATGCACTGAATCCAGAGACGAAAAGTTAGATTATCAAATAATTTTACCTCGAAATAGTGCATATAAATGTCAGCACGTACAGGACTGAGAGAATTACCCATAGCTAACCCTTCAATTTGACGATAATATTCATTTTGGAAAAGAAAGTGGGTCGTATATTTAGTTTAAAACTAAGCTTTCCTCTAAATGCTCTTAAAAACGAAAATGAGTACTGAATTCAGAATAATACCTATCAGTAGTGATTCCCCTCGTACATTTTTTGATAATTTATACTGGTAGTGTCTTCTATCAACGAAAGTTCGTAAGCGGTAGTTCTCTTTGGTTATCAAACTGCGAACCTTTTTACTTCCTTGTACGAAGTAAAAAGGAAGTATTATAATCGCGAAAAGTTTGAGGCAGCATATTTCAACGAAAATATCCATTTTGACCGCTATCCAATGCAATTTAACGATGTTTTTGCGTAATATCTGTGCGTAAGGACAGAGTAAAGACTCGTTTCCTCCAAAAAAATTATAACTGCTTTAAAATGAATTCTGAAGAGAATTTTTCGTGGCGTCTGTACGTGCGTACGTACGTACGTATCTCGCATAACTCAAAAGCGAGTAGCCTCAGAACGTTGAAATTTTGTATATAGGACTTCTATAACATGTAGATGTCTACCACGTATTTTTGTTGCAATCGGCCGCACCAAACGTATATAAATATATTTATATATATATCCACACTGTTACCCGGCTCATTCACCTCAGTTTCTTTACTCTTATATGTGTGTAAATTGTACATTTTTTGCTTTAAAAATGATTGAATTATGTTGTTTTTATCTTCCGGTTAAGGGTTTTATGCCTTTAGTAAATCTGTATGCAATATTTTCAGAATTATCAACAATTTTAAAGTTGTTTAAGTGCCGCTAAACCTTTTTCTTTACAGCGGCCATTGATTGTTTACATTTGAAACAGGGACTAGTGGATTTGTTGCCAATCTATAGAAACTTAGCTTCGCAACAACAAAGATAACACCTTCATTTATTATTGCGACCCAGATCATGCTTAATCCTTTCTGGAATTTTTTCGAGGAAATAAGTGTTTAAGATTTACTTCGTAATTTTTAATACAGATACTTTGATTTTTTGTGTGTTTTTGCCTTCTTGCGAAGTGAGAACTGAATTAATTGAATGAGAAATACTCAATCGTCTGTGAAAAACGTTTTTTTTTTTTTTTTTTTTTTTTTTTTTGTTTTTGTTTTATTTGCTTAATTTCTTTTATACATCATTCTAGCTTTATTATAGTATTTGAATAGAACATGTGGCAACGATTAGATAATTCTTTAAATGACATAAATTTTGTGCATTATGAGTTATAATATGAACGAAATATAATACTGTTAAGTTAATCTAGTGCCAGAGTGTCGCTATGGTAAACAAATACTAGAGTGAAATTTAAAGAATGCATTTATTCTATTGTGGTTTATGCGCTGTCGGCGAAGTATATTTAATTCAATCCAATAAGTTTAAATGAAATGCAAGAAAAAATGCGTATAATTTAATATTCCGTACAAGGAAGTCATGTGGTGTACACATCAGATTTTTTTGTAAACGAGTACTTAAGCCACTGGATTAAATTTGTTTATTGTACGGGCGCTTAAAATGCCATGCATTTTTTATACACACGTGGGATCGCTATACAAACCTCTTCCAACACGCAATACTCAGTTTTGAGAAGTCAGCTCTAGCTCTAATGACACTGTTGCATTGAACACTGTGTTTGTAAACAATAGTATTTTGAAGCCTGTAAATATAAGCTGACCTTATGCTCTGAGAAGCGTAATGTGAACTGAAAATATTCCTGGAATTCAGACGAGCATCTGAACGAATTTTGGTGAATTAAAGAGAATATGAAAAAGCTTCAGTGGGTTGAGATAGTAAAGAAGCAGAGTTTGAAAGGTGCAGTTTACATCGCGTCTGTTGTTGCCAGTGCTTCGTTTTGATACAATGTTACAGCTTTATTATTGTAGTAATATAGAAATAAATTACGTATATATTTGCGTAAGTTGTTTATTACATTATATAGCACAAAACCTAATTATATGCTGTCCTAAATAAAAACTTATATACATACTTATATAAACTTATATATATGGTTATATATAATTTCATGGTTATTTGAAATTATTTGCACATCTTCAGGGAAATATTGTAGGATATTTACTTCACTAAAGTAGTAATCATGTAAGGTCATTAAGATGTTCTGACGCAGGAGATGTGAAAAATTAGCAATGCCCTCGCCTGAACTCAAACCTGCACCTCTCAAAATACGCGCCGAGTGTGCTAACTGTTACACCACGAAGGCATACTGGAAAAAGGGAGAAAATACATTATAATCACTCACAATAAGATTTGCAGCTGATTAGATCCCTTTCAGATCTCCTTAATCTCGATTAGATCCCTTTCAGATCTCCTTAATCTCGATTAGATCCCTTTCAGATGAGCCATTCTGAAAGGGATCTAATCGAGATTAAGGAGTGTGAAGAAAACGTTTATTTTCAGATCCCTACTTAAAATCTTTATTAAGTTAATTGCCGATCTCAGGTAACTTTCAGTAACCGATTTCAAGCAAAGTTGTTTTTAGGACGATGAGTTTGCTACGATGCCAAAACTGAAATGCATATATTCGCATTTAAAAAATTATTTTAAATTACAAGTAGGTAATTAAATTGACAAATTTTACATTCTTTTTCAGGGAGATGAAGAAGCAAACCTAGGATTACAAGTATCACCTTTCATGGATAGAAAAAATCCCCAACTCGCCAAACTTCAAGAGTCTTTCATCAATCATTTAGTAGCTCCCCTTTGTAACGCATATGGTGAAGCAGCGCTTTTACCTGGAGTATGGGTGGAGGATTCTGATAGTGGAGAAGATGATGATGGTAAGCGTATACGCATTTTGATTGTAAACTAGCAATATGCCTGTTCTTTGTATGAGCGGAAAAAAACACACTCTTTCCACAAAGCATTGGAAAAGTTGAAATAAATACAAAAAGACATGAAATGGTAGTATTTAAAAAGTAAAGAAATCACCCTCAATAACAAAGGAATACATGACAAAAAATTTTTATCACGGATAACAGAAGAAATATTATAGACTCTCAGCATAAAACAAAACTGTCTATGGAAAATATAAAAGGGAAATGCAATAGCCGTGGGTTCATATCAAGGATAGCAGATGATACCGTATTACTTGGCAGCTATTTTTACCCCCAAGGCTATAAATTAATTACGCGTAATATATGTTACCAGTATGTACATATTTAATATATGTACCGGTACAGGAATGTATATTATTACCTGCAGAGTATTAAACGCTAGCATTCTCTACAAAACTAGGCATTTTATAGAATGTCTGGCGTTTATAGGCAAAGTATGAAATATGCGAATTATTATATATGTTACCGGCAAAGTATGAAATCCGGCATTCTATAGAATGCCTAAAAGTAGCTGGCAATGTATGAAAAGATTCATACTTCACACATTTCCTTGGCATTCTATAGAATGCTAAATGAGAAACTGGCAAAGTATAAAATACATCTCAGAATTATTTCGAATGCCACATGTATTTTAATTCATTCAATATTTCACACATTTCGTTTCTGATACCTTTTGCCGTGTGTTTAAAGGAAACGAGCGATGCAGTTGCATGCAAAATTGGATGGCTCTAGGTACCGTTGTTTTATCACGATGCGAGAAACATACGTACATTTATGCAGATTCTTTGTTATTTAATTTCTTTAAATATAATTAAATATAATACAGGCTATATAACCTTTGGTGCAACAGTTTGAAAGGTGAACCGACATTTAAAGTTTTCAACGCAAAATGCCAAAACGAAATTAATAGTCCTTCTGGGCTAATAAATGTTACCTAACATAATGAAACCCTGAGTTCTGCGCATATCGGCATCCATGTTGCTTGGTGTTTTGAGTCCTCTTACAAAAAGTGTTTATTATTCAGTGAAAAGTTTGTGTTTTGTGTTTTAAAGTTGATATTCAAGTTCCCCTTGCGTTCCGGTTTTGTTTTATATGCTTCATGTTGAATTTGTTCAAGTAGTTATGGAGATTTGAAGATTTAAAAGTTTTGACGTGTCATCTCGCCGGCTTCAGGCAGCAAGCTGTAAGTTTTTCAATCCTTTTAGTGCTTTACACTTGCTACATCGACTTGAATACTTTATATTATTAACGTATTGTGTACCGGAACTGGATTGTATTGTAAATTATTTTCCTGATGAATATTTTATGAGTTTAAGAGCAGCTTTTAAGTGTTTCCTTAGCTAAGCCTAATGGATGATAATGTTAACAATTGAACATTAAGAGTGAAAGTGCGCTAAGTCAGTTGGTGCACCACTCTCTCAAGTCTTTCTGACCGATGTAAGCTCGTGTTTAGAATTTTTTAGTACACTAAAATCGAAGTCTTTCTGCCCGTTGTCAAACTCACTCAATTTTTGCGATAGAACTCTCGTTTTAATTTTAAAAATTATTTTGGATTCTATTGAATTGGATTTTAAAGTTGGACTGAATATTTATGATTTTTTGAATTTTTACTGTATTTTAGGATTTTATAGTTGGGAGATTTACGGTGATATGATTGTATTTTAATTATTGCGTTGATTTTAAATTGTGGAAAAAATTTTATTTTGAAATTTAGCTGTGTTTTAATCTTGAACCTGGATTTTAACTAAATTGAAGTTAGATTGAATTTTATTGATTTTTATATTTTATTGAAGAGTTATTGTGATTTTAACTTCTTGTATTCTTATATTTATGTACATTTAATTAGATATTGGTCCCTTAAGCCGACAATGTCTCAGAATAAGGTTCATTCCGAGGACACTTTGGAAACTATAGATATAGAAAATAAAAATGATATAGTTACTGTTATTAAACAGATGAATAAAATAGTTGATAGCCTGAAGGAGAAGCGAGTGGCTAAATCCTTAGTTGAATCATTAAGTAATGGGTTGCTCTTTGTAACAGAATGGGTTTCGAATAAGTGTTTGGAGAATATAAGCGGAAAAAGATATGGTGATTTGGAGGAAAAGATTAATACAATCATTGAAGAGGTTTCGGATATTAAGGAGAGAATTATTGATAACAGGGATGAGAAAGAAGAATGGCAGGAGGTAAAGAGTAAGAAAAGGAGGAGAGCAGAAAAGAAAGTGAAATTATTTTGAAACCTAATAGGGAAGGCATCGATGTTTATGATGAAATCAAGAGTAACATTAATCCTATCAATATTGGAGTTAAGATAAAGAAATCTTATTGTAGAAGAAATGCCACTATGGTAGTTGAATTGGGGAATAGAGAGGAATGTAAAAAATTGGAAAGAGAAGTGAGGCTGAACAGGAATTTGAACCAAATTGTTACGCCGAGACGAAGAAAATTTATAAGACCGAGAATGATAATGTATAATGTTTCAGACGAAGTAGAAGAAGAAAAGATTATACAAAGTATGAAAAGAGATTGTGAGTGTAAGGGAGATTGTGTTAAATCTCTGTTCAGAATTCCTACTACTGAGAAAAGAGTTTCCCATCGTGTCTTCCTGGTTACTGGAGACTGCCAGAGGTTTCTCATTGAAGAACAAAGAATCTTGATAGAGTGGAAATCCTATCTCATTAGATTGTTCCTTAGGCCAAAGAGATGTATTAACTGTCTGGCATTTGGACATACCAAAAAGGAGTGTAATAATCCCGTTGTCTGTAGTAAATGTTCAGACACACATGAGAAGAAGAGTTGTAAAGTGGAGAAATTATGTTGTGTAAATTGCAATGAATTCAACAAAAAGTTTAATTCGAATTTTAACATAGATCACGATGCATTCTCCAGGGGTTGTTCAGTTTATGTCCAGGAAGTGAACTTTTTGAAAGAACATCTAGATATTTAGTTATAGAGAATTTTGATATTGTCGGCGGGGACTAATATATGTTTGTTCTTGGCATCCTTTTGAATAAAGAATTGACTGTCTTGTCTCCTTATTATTTATAAAGTTTAATATAAATTTAGCAATTTATATTAAATGAATTCAACAAAAAGTTTAATTCGAATTTTAACATAGATCACGATGCATTCTCCAGGGGTTGTTCAGTTTATGTCCAGGAAGTGAACTTTTTGAAAGAACATCTAGATATTTAGTTATAGAGAATTTTGATATTGTCGGCGGGGACTAATATATGTTTGTTCTTGGCATCCTTTTGAATAAAGAATTGACTGTCTTGTCTCCTTATTATTTATAAAGTTTAATATAAATTTAGCAATTTATTGATAATAAATTTAGAAGCAGGTTCCCTCACCTCTGGTTAAGTTTTAAGGTAAGCTCAAAGTTTATATTGTTTTTAATTTATAGTGTTTTAACTGTATATAGAGTTTTATTGAAATACTTGCTTTTAAGGATTTGGAAACATTTGGATTTTAAATATTGTAAATATTTGAAATTGGATATATTTTTATTGTAAATTTGTGATTTTATATAGATACTTTTAACTGTATATAGTATTTTAATTGTATATTGAGATTTTGTATTTGAGATATTTTAATTGTATATTGAGATTTTGTTTGTATTGTATTTGAGAAGTGAAAATTTTGTATTATGAAGATATTGAATATAAATGTCAACCACTGTAATGTCGCCTCATGTCAGCTCTCGGCTATTAACAATATACTGAAAGAGCCAGTCCAAATTGTTACACTGCAGGAGCCCTATTACATTGATAATAAAATGGCACATATAGAGGGAGAGTGGAGAGTTGTAGGAAGAAGAGGTGGTAGAGCAGCGATAGTTGTGATAAATAGAAACATTGATTCTATAATTGACCAAGAATTGGATTGTGTGGTAGCAATTACGATTTTTTATGAACACAAGGCAATATCGATTATTTCAGTTTATTTTTCACCAGCTGAAGACCTTGAGCCTCATTTTTTGCAGTTGGAAAATGTTTTTAATCAGTATACAAATGGTTTTATTATAATGGTGGATTTTAATTCAAAAAATTTTAATTGGGGTTCGAATGAACTCGACGGTAAAGGGATTTTAACTTTCGATTTTGTTTTACAAAATGATCTTAAGTTGGTGAACGTTAAGGATTTGCCTCCGACTTTTGTGTCTCCCGTTGGATGTGGCTGGACGGACTTGGTGTTATGTTCCTCATTACTTAATTTTAATCAGATTGAATATGAGGTATTGGATTTAGAAAGTTTAAGTGATCATAGATATATTTTAGTAGATTATATTGACATACAAGTTGTTGGAAGTAAAAAAGTTATTTATTCACAAAACCCAAATAGAATTGCAAGGACCGTCAGGAGAAGTAGGAAAATCATAGAGAATATTGAAAATAGAATTATAATCACTAAAAGTGTAGAGGAACTAAATGAAATTGTGGAGAAGTTTGAGAGGGATTTAATTAATGTTATGAAGAAAAATCTGATGATCAAAGGAAATATTAAAAAAAGGAAAACTGGCTGGTGGAATGAAGAATTGGAAAAACAGAGAAGAATTTTAAGAAGTAAAAGGAAGAAATCCGAGGTTAAAGAGATTTCGGAGGAGGAACGAACCCTTAGGAGAATAGAATATAAGAATAGAATATAAGTATGTTATTTCAGGAAAAGTCCGATTTTATGTCAAAATACCTATGTTAGAAAAACACTATATTTAAATCTAATATATAACCTAAGTCGCGCTTTCGAGGCATAGAAAACGCAGTTTGAATTTCCTCAATCGGAACAGGAAAATGGGATATATAGAACTGTCTTTTTTTTTTCTTGCAGCAACCATTGTTGCCAGCACCTTTGCACAGTCGTGCCCGACCAACCCGGAATGGCAACGCGGACAACGAGAAAAGAAAAACGTCCGCAATTGTTATCAGTTTCATAAAAATGAC